AGGCAGGTGGCTCTCTGCAAGGCTGCGATGGTGGCCCTCCTGGAAAGAACAGGCTTCTCTCGCCTAACGCCTCTTCGCAAGTTAACTGTTCGTGCAGTTTTCAGCTCTGGGCACAGATTAAAGTCCAGGACAACACAAAGGGAGGAAGAAGCCTGCTCCAGTAAAGGCCCGGAAGGCTCCAGGTACCGAAGGCCGAGCTATCTGAAAAATCAGAAGTAACATCTTTTTGCCCCCTCCTTTCTAGTGTTCCTTAGTGTTTAACTCTGCCACCATTTTCCAGGGCCTAGAAAAGAAGAGAAAGAGTAGCGCTCTGGTACCTGGCCCTGGGTGGCAGCCCCGGCAGCTGGGTCGGACACGGGCATGGCAGGGAGGTAGCTGAGGGGCGGGTGGGGGCCTGGCGGAGCAGTTCATCCTCAGACGGGCTGGCTTGCCTCATCCAGGGACTCTGGGACAGTCCGGCTCGCCAACAAAGCACAGCCTCTTCTCTCCTCTGCTCCCACAGAGGCACCAGCAGCATGGGCGCCTGCCCAAGACCGAGTGCGGCTCTACCCACCCCGTGTGAGTCCAGGCAGAACTCAAGCAGCGCTGGCAGCGCCCCTCAGCTGGGACACAACGTGAGAAAGGTCGTGACTTTGGTGGGCTGAGCCCTAACCAACCTGCCCCCCCCAGCAAGATCGTGGCCTCCCCCGCGCCTGCCTTGCCCCAGGGGGAAATCAAAGCACCATCCAGGAAGCACCAGCAAAGGCTAAGAGTGTAATGGACACACACACACACACACACACACACACACACACACACACACGCAAAAGCTGCAGCACTTGTGAGAGCGGCTCTGGGACTGGCTCTGAGGGAACCTTCTCCAGAAAGTCACATCTGCTCTGCCTTTGAATGACGTCAGTGGGCTCTGGGGACAAAGGAGAATCCCAGAACCACGGGACCTGAGCGCTCCTCATTTTATAGGAGCAGAAGTTGAAGCTCTGAGCAGGGCGGTGGCTTCTGCAGAGATGCCTTGTGGAGCAGGCTTCCTGCGGTGGCCGTGCCGGGTGGGGCAGTTCAGTCCTGGGCGTGAGGAGGCCATGGTGGGCTCGGCCGCCAGCGCCACCCACAGCCCCTCAGAGGGGTCTAGCTGCCTCCCATTCCCACTGTCCTCTAGCTGTTAGGTTCACTCAGCCGCTGACTCCTCCCTGCCCAGGCCAGGCCCTCTCTGAGAGGACGATGCCCCTGGCCCCTTCTAACTGCTGCCTTCCAGAGCCTCCCAGCCCACCCGGCATCCCCCAGAGGCCCTCGGGCCCACAGCCCACTGAGCCAGCCCTGCGTTCTGGACCTGCAGGAGGTTCTGTGTCCTGAGAATCTGTGGCGCAGAGATGGCTGCAGTGCTTTCTCTTCCTCTCACTGGATTTTCTGGAGAGCACATTCAAGAGGGGAAGAGTCTGACTCTGTGCACAAGCTGCTCTTGAAAAGCATTCGGTTCCTCTCCCTGCTTTAAGAAGATCCGTCTACAGTCCATAGCTATTTTCTGCTTTGAGTTTGAATGAAGTTGAGATCAGGATAAGTGACTTGTAGGGTTTGAATTACACTGGGATCACATCCACAAGGTGCTCGGTACTCCCTTGAGCACTGGTAGAAGCGAGGTTTCTACTCCGGCCGACACCTCTGAGAGCTGTCAAGGGGGAAGTCATCGCACTGGGGTTTGACGGGTGACTCGCCAATCACACAATCCACTCCTCTTCTCCCTCCCGTGCCATGTTAGCAGTAAGATGCCAGGACAGGAGGGCGAAGGGGAGCGTGTACACGATGAATAGCACAGCTCAAGCCCGCTTCCCCAAGCTAAGCTGACAAAGCCTGCCACCCTCTCCGGAGGACCCAGCCCCCCGACTGGAAAGCCAGAATTCAGCCAGACAGCATTGCGGCATCGGTGGCCACGGGCAAGGGTCGCCCTTGGTGCAGAAGTCTGGCTTCAAGCAGCAGTGACCAGACTGCCTGGGTGTTTGACACACCCGGCACCAACCCCCTGAGGGCCCCAGCTGGCCTGCCCTGTGCTCCCCAGCCAGGGATGCCAACCCTCCCTCTCTAGCAGGAAGAGTAGTTTGAATGATCTCAACTAGCAGTACAAGATTCTCCCCCAGCAAAATGGAAAATGTGATTTACTTTGAGAGGAATACGTTGGTGACCACAGGTGAGATGGGGAGAGCCACCTTCGCTCGCAGTCCTGACACACTCCGTCCCTGATTGTCAACAGCCAGCTCTCTCACCCATGGGGATGGGAGATTCCAGCTGGGTGATTCGGCCCTGCCCCCTGGTGTCTAGAAGACAGACAGACGGTACACGGCACTACCAACTGTGCGGGCGGAACACGCTTCTCCACATCTTGACAAAGCTACTCAAACCACAGCTCTGCAGCAAAAACCTGTCTGCCTCCACACGTGATGGCCCTTTTGCTGTCTTTTTTACAAAGTGCAGCACACCATCCCCTCCATTCACCTGCTTTTAACTCTGAGACGCCGGAAGCCTGAGATGGGCCACAGTGGTCCCTGGTGGTTACATGCAGCTCTGGAGGAGATCTAGGAGGCATTCCTTTTATGTGATAACACACTGAGGGCACAAGGGGCCATCGAAGGAACCGTCACTGACCAAGGACAGTGTTCCCCATCCGGGGGTGCTGCCTGGACTCAAGATGCAGGGAGATGCCCCCTTCCGCCGTCATTTACAACGCCCCTTGGGAGAAGCAAGTCAACAGAGGAAACAGAAAATGAACATTTTTTTCCCGCCATAAAAAGCTCAGGCTGAATCAAGACATTTCTTCCTCCAGGTGGTTTTTCCTAGTCACTAAAAAAGCATCAAATGTTTGCTTTTGCCCAAAGCTATTATATAGCCTAGAATTTCTCCAAAATAATATTTAGCTATAGCTTTTCAGCTCCCTTTCTAAAACTTCTAATACCACATCTTTTAATACTTTAGTGCCATTTAAAAAATTCTTCATTATGACAGGTATCAGAGCAATCACCATGCAATTATTACTGAAATCATAGTTTAGAAAAGGAGAGTGCGGCTTCCCTGGCAAAATTCGTAAATGTTTGCCCAGTCATTGAAATCGGATGGAAACCACTTTGGGATTGTGTTATTTGTTCGTTTTAACCTGAAGAGACTGTTGCATTTTCAGGTTATGTATAGCTACTCACATAGCCACAGCATATAAATTCACATTATAAGTGTGCTTTCTCCTCCTCTGGGGGAACTTTAAAGGATAAAAAGGACTCAGGTGGGACCCTTAAATGAATTAGCTGTATCTAAATCTTTCAACTTTCTCTTTCTCTCTTAAGAGTGTAATCACTGAGAATTAAAATTTGTATAAATTGTCTTGGACCTTAGCATCCAAGACAAGAAGGGCAAGATGAATGCCTCTTGGGGACCCTAAAGGAGAAAGCCCAGCACAGCCGTAAACAGGAGGACCCAGGAGGGCTGCAGGGTTTCTCAAGGAAGCCCTCGGAGCCCCAGACAGGTGGAATCCAACTTGTTTCTCTTCCCTCTCCCAACCATCTACACAGGCCACAGAGGACTCCCAGGCAGAAATGAACCAAACAGGACCATGAAGTCTGGCATGTTCGACCTCCCTTTTACATGGACAGACACTCACCATCAGCAAGAATCCTGGGAGCAAAATACAGAGACTGGGGGATAGGCTTCCACCTCCGGCCCCCATACCACCACCCTTCTAAAGGGGCCACAGCAGCCGAGCTGCAGATGCCCGTCCACGGAGCAAGTAGGGGAGGGGCCGACCTGCCTCCTGCTCTGAACCACTGGGTTGTGGGGAGTTGAAATCTCACAAAAGCACTTTTGTGTGGCTTCGCTTCCCGTTACTATCGCACTGCCAAAAACCACAGCAACAATACAGTGAAAGCACGTCAAAGCCGACACAGCCTTGATAGCTAAGCACAAGCACGTGCTGGCCACTCGAGGGCACCATTTGGAGGGGGCTGTGCCTACCCGGCAGACAAGCCCCAGTCCTCTGCAGGAGTCTGCCCTAGGACACCTCCGGGCCTCTTTCAAACCCTAGGAGTCTCCTCCCAGCTCCTTAGGAAAACCTCCTGGCAGGTCTCTAGGGAAAGCCGTAGCGCCCCCTTTCCCCATCCCCAGACATTGCACTAGCTTCCTCCTGCGCGCCCCCAAGGCACTGCGGACACCGCGGTCTACCCAGCTTAGGAGCTGCAGAAACTGACAAATGCCGCGCACTCCCGACCCGGTGACATGTCAGGTCAGACTGGCGCTTTAAAACCTCTCCCCCATCTCACCCCCCCCTCCGAAAATTTTCTTTCCACTTTCTAGATCATTCCGAATTGGAATTTGTATTTTTTTAAAAAGGTGGTGCTGACCGTTGCAGAGATCTGGGAAGCTCCACAATGCAGTCTTTCCGACAAATGTTCCTTTTCAAAACTGGGAGAATGTTAGATTTTGAAAGTTCGAGGAAAAAGATAAGGCCTTTTGCAGCGGTTCCTCCCCAGAATAAATGGCCCCGATGCAACGCAAGCCTTCGGAAAGGGCATTACAGCCCTTCCGTCGGTCTCAGGTGCAACACCGGGAACTCTGCCCCCCAGAGGGCCGTGCCCCACACTCAGCCGGAAACAAAAAGGGGTGAAATGAGACTCAAGTATCCCTTTAGCTCCCCCATGCCGAAGCCCCCAATTCCCTAACCCGTTTCTACCCGATTTGGTGCCGGTTACTGTAACAGCAATGCAAAGCCATCCTCCCCCCAAAAGGGGGCGGTGGGCGCAATGGTGATCTGTTTGCAAAATACACATGACTGTGACATTCGGTAGCGTCAAGGTCATCTCTTCCCAGGGCTTTCGGATGCTTCCACCGTAAACGTGCGCATGAGTGACGAAGTGTGTGGGTGTGAGTGTTGGTGTGTGAACGTGCGCTCTTCCTCCTCCGTGCGGCCGCCGGGCCAGACTCCGACACGCAGCCACGCTAGGTGACAGGCTCGGCCCGAAGCTGCTCTCAGCGGGGAGTCCTTGGCGGCGCGGCTGCCCCCTCCCTGGCCCGGCCTGGCCCGCATGCTACCTGCAGCCGCACGCCTCCACCACCATGTCCTCGTATTGCTTGTAGACCACGTTGTTGGCGGCGTCGATGTAGAGGATACTGATGGGGCTGAGGCGCGCGGGCACGCAGCAGGAGGCCGGCGCTGCATCCGGCGCCATGGAGTTGAGCAGTGTCTGAATGATGGCGTGGTTGGTGGGCTCAAGGTGCGAGCGCAGCGGGAAGTCGCAAACGCCCTCGCAGTGGTATGCTTCGTAGTCCAGCGGCGCGATGATCCAGTCGTCCCAGCCCAGCTCCTTGAAGTCCACGTGCAGGGGCTTGCGGCTACAGCGGCTCCGGCCCCTGCGCCCGTGGCTCCGGCCCTCGCCCCCGCCGCTGCCCTGCGCTGCCCGAGTCCCGGCCAACGCCGTCCGCCGCCGCCTGCGGCCGCCGATAACCGCCGTCGGCAACCCCATGCCAGGTCCCTGATCCGGCGGCGGCTCCGCTGCCAGTGCGGCCCCGAGCGCGCGGGCCTGGGCGCGGATCTCTCGGAACAGGCTCTCCTTCTTCTGCGTGCGGGAGGAGACGACCAGCAGCGCGCGCTCCTCCGCCGCCGCTCCGCCTCCGCCCCGCGAGTCGAAGCCCAGCAGCCGCAGTGCCAGTGGGACCGGCGCGGGACCCGCCACTCCGCGCAGCAAGAGGCAGAACGCGCGGGTGGCGCGCGGCTCCCGGCGGTGGCGCCGCAAGGCGTCCGCCACGTCGAACACCTCCCAGCGCGCGGTGTCCAGGGGCTCGGCGGCCCGGGAATGCAGCAAGCGCGGCGCGCGCGCGGCGCTGGGGCACGTGGACAGCAGCAGCAACGGGAGGGTCGCGCTGCCGGGGCCCCGCTCCGGAGACTCGCGGCGCAGCACACGCAGCTCCGCGCCCACCACCTCGTCGGCGTCGGGAAGGCTGGACACGTCGAACAGGAAGTTCAGGCCGGTCTCCGCTGCCGATTCGTCTGCCGGGGACGGGCAGAGACAGAGAAAGAGCGGTGTGAGAGCGAAGCCGGCACGCCTGGCCACGGGGCCTCCTAACTGCAAATAGCAACTACCCTGGACGTGAGAACAAGGCTCGCTGGAGCCGGCGCCTGACCGGGCGTCTCGGCTCCAGCCGGAAAGCCGCCAGCCTGGTCCGGAAGAAAGAGAGCCTTAGGTTCAGATTATCTGGATCTGGGTTTTCGTTCATCGAGCCAAACGATTTCCGACAACCCACGGACATCAACTGAACGCACCTCCTCACCCGAGACCAAGACTTAAGGCCACTACAGTCCACTGCCTGCCCCAGAGTCATGGGTTTTCGAAGACGAGGTCGGAGGCCAGATTTTCAGCCGCTGGCAGAAAGAAGGCCCGGTGGGCGCATCAGAGGTCGTGCGCCTCTTCAAGACCTGGAGGCCAGGCCGGCCGCGGTAAGGGGACTGCTGGTTATGGCCCTGCTTAGCCGCCAAGAGAGCCTCGGAGTCCCGGTTGTGCGAAAACGGAAAATTCTTGTCCCCTGTAAACTGCTTCTGCTACCTCTCTTCCCCAGCCCAGCCTGGACATTCCAGCCGGCCACGATCTCCCATGCAGGCGGGGGCTCGCCTAGAAGGGGAACGGGCCCTCAGGGCTGCAGAAAGCCTTTAGTGCCTCCAGCCTCCTCGCTTTGCTGAAGGGGAACTGAGGCCCAGATTAGGGGCCCGGCTCAGCCCCTGGTCGCGATGGGGAACTCCAGGCTCAGCTTCTCCCAGTGTTTCCGCCACCTCCGACGGAGGGGAAAGGCGGCAAAGGAGCGCAAGCAACCTTCTGGGAAGGGTTTGAGGCAGCCGGGACTGCCTTGCTGCAGTGAGGGCAGCGAACCGAGTGAGGTCTCCCCGCCAGTACCCTCTGGTCCCCTCGCAGACTTATTCTTTCCCTCCGTTATGACTCAACTCGGGCTTTGGGATTTTACTTCTGGTTGTGGGCACTTTTTTCTTTTGGGGCTCAGAAAGGAAAAAAGAGTTGAAATTCCACCAAGCAGCAGATAAGGAGCTCCCTTTGAAGAAGGTCATATGGTTTCGTTTTGCCCCAAACGCGAAGAGACTGTGCACACTCCCCCCACTATTGGAGATTTGCTCACCAACCACAGATGCCATGCCATCGACTCCTGGGGTCTGAAGTCTGGGTGCTGCGGTGACCTCAGGCAGCCCTGCTCCAAGCTGAGGCTCAGGGTGGAGAGGGTAGCAGGAGAGGCCCTGGGCAAGTGCTCCCCACCCCTCCCCCGTGCTTTCTCCCACGGGCTTGCTCGCTGCCACACTTTCTCTGAGCTTCTGCAGCCTCTCTCAGCTTTGAGATGCTGCCCCTGCATCCTCTCCCTCCAGAGAGAGGAAGGAGAGGCGGCCTTACTAGCCTTGCCAACCAAGCAGAGCTCCCCAGGAAAGGATTCAGCTCAGGCTGAGACCACCGAAGGCCTAACTCGACCTAAGAAAGAACATCTGGTGCCTCTCCAAGCTTAGGGCCCTGCACATCTCACCTCTCCCACAGCTGGGAGCCCACTCTGCAGAATTAGGACTGGGGCCTTCCCTGGCTCTGTACACCAGGACCTGGGCTCCCTATGAGTACCCTAGCATCCCATCCAGGATGCATGCCAGGCCCTCGGAGAATGCTTGAAAGTTCCCACCAGACTATGAGGCCATTTGGGCCCAGGATGCCCCTGTATCCCAAATAAAGCATTCTGTGTAGACGTTATGTGTATGCTGGAGGGGGCGAGAGATTTGATCTCTGCCCCGCCTCTACCTGCTTTCCCAGGCTAGGGTCGGGCACATACAACCCCCAGTGGCTCCCAGGCAGGACCTGGATTGCAGCAGCACTTAACTTTCCGGCCCTATTTGCCTTTCTTTCCTTTCTGCCTTCCATTCTGGGTCTCTGGCTGGATAGAGTTAAGGCCGAAATTACTTGCATTTCCTCCTGAAATTAGTTAAATTTTCCCTATCTGTCTGTTTTAATGGCTTCAATAGAGATTAATAAAATCCAGATGACACTCACCGACCACCACAGTCTCACCTAAGTCCTACCTTTGGAGGGCTCAGGGTGGAGTAAGGCGGGGTACTTGGTCCCAGAGAAGCCTGCATTCCTGCAGCGTCGCTGGCCCTCCTCTCCTCTCTACACAACCGGAGTCCTTCACCTCTGGCTCCCCCAGGGGCCTAGCACAAGGCAGGCACCCATAGCTACACACCTCTACCCAGACGCAGCCTGCTTAGAAGGGCCCTCCCCATACCTGGTGATGCCACCAGCCTCTCCAGAACCATTTACTTTAGTCTGATGCCTGCTGTGTCCCGCATTCTCCTCATTTCCCCCAGTTTGTACGGCCCCCCGCAAGACTGGGAACTGCACAGCAACGAAGCAGCCGCCGCCACCACCACTGCGCAGTCCCTCTGGGCCGGGCCCCCTCCTTGCTTCTCCGGATCTCCAAAACAGCCTGCCTCCTCGAGGGGACCCGCCGGCCGGCAGGGCCCGGGCAGCCCGGCAGAGGGACGGGCTCAGCCCTCCGGGGCCGGGCCCCGCAAGCTGCCGCGGCTCTAGCCACAGTCCAGGCGCTGCGGGTTCGGGTGCGTGGGCCTCGGCGAACTTTCTAACACCTGAGGCTGGGATGTGCGGGGACCAAGGCCCCCCGAATGGAATGGTGCCGGGACAAGGCTCCGGCGGTGACCTCAGCCTAGGACCCGACAGGATGGACTAGCGCAGTGGAGGTGTGAGTACCTTGGGTCGCCTGGTCTGCGAAGCCGGTGATTGTGTCCGCGCGGCTGTGGCGGCCAGAACCCGAGGTGGAGGCGGCGACTGCCCCGGCCGGAGTCCTCCCGGCCAGGCTCCGGTAAAGCGACATCATGAATTGGTGCGGCACCACCGAGCCGTTCCTGAAGCCGGAGCCCGCGGCGCGGCGCGCGGCGCGGGGCCCGGGAGCCGCGGCGGCCGGGGCAGCGGAGGCGCCCGCAGTCGCGGCGAGGGTCCTCCCGCCGCCGCCGCCGCCCCCCGGACTCCCGGTCGGCCCTGCCCCCGCCGCTCGCAGCACCGCGGCCGCTTCGAGCCCGTCGCGGGGGCGGCAAGCGCTCAGCAGCCAGAGGCACAGCGCGGCGGCCGCGCTCAGGTCCATGGGCTCCGAGGGCCAGGCGGGCGGGCGGCGCGGGCTCCGTGGCTTCGGGAAGTCCCCCAGCGCCTTTTGAACATAGTGTTTAATAATGGGGGAAGTGTGCGCAGCAAGCTGCGGCCCCCCCTCCTCTCCCACCCCACCCCCGCCCAACGCCCGGAGCAGCGCCCCCTGCTGAACACTCGAGCGGCAGCGCCGCGCCCCCTACTCCGGCCTAACGCTGAGCCCAGGGCCGGAGCCTCCTCCCCCAGCCGAAGCGCTTCGCCCCCCACTCTCGCTAGGCGAGTGTCACCGGCTGGAGGCTCCCGCGACAAACCGGGGCGCCGCCTCGCTCTCCCAGGGCAAAGTGACCCCCTCCGTCCTCGCTGCGCCCGGGCCAAATGCGCCCTCGGGAGTCAGAGGCTCCGAGATATCGCGCGTACCCGCCCAGCGTCTTCCCTACTCCCCTGCGGAGAAGCACCCGCCCCCCGCCCGCTCCTGTACTGCAGGGGCCCGAGACGCCAGAAGTGCGGCCGCGGAGGGGCTCGGCCTCGCCTGTCAGTGCCACGATCCCGTGGCCACCGCGCACAGAGAGGCCACCAGGGCGCGCAGGGTTGACACAAAAGCGCGTTTTTGATCACCGGTTCTGCGGTTCCCCACCCTGGCACAGCTTCCAAAGATCGGAGCGGGAGGCCGGAGCCGGGGAGGAGACCCGTAGGGAAGAGAGGGCTAGCGGCTGGAAGGGCAGGCCGGAAGGACAGCGGGACAAGGACCGACGGTCGAAAATCAAAGGTTTGGGCACTGAACATGCGCTTAGACGGGAGCCAGGATCTTAAAGGAGCTCAGGAACTACGAAGGCAGCCCCAGGGTATGAGGGGACTCCCGCGCGGGAGCGGCTCCCCGAGTTCGTCTGTGCATCGAAAGTGAGGACCTTCCGCCCGCCTCCCAGGGGCCCGGCTAACAGAAACGGGCTACCGGGTATGTTGGGGCGCGGGCAGAGCCGGGAGGGCGGGCGGTGAAGAGCCTCGGGGTGGCGCCTCCGTACTTCCTTCCCGGGCCTCGGTTCTCCCGCAGGGCGGGGGATGGATGGAGGGGGCGCCCGGGACCGCAGTCGCGCGGGCAGCTTGGCACTTGGGTCCGCAGCCCGCAGGGGTAGGTCCCCGGGAGGCCACATCTCAGGGAGACGCGCCAGGGAGGGTGGTCGTCGGCGGGTGTCGGCTTAGCTCCACCAGCAGCCCGGACATCCCTCGAATGCGGGAAAGCCCAGCGGATGGACAATCCGCTGTTGCGCGGATGGCGGGCTGCAGCCGGACGTATCCCCGTAGCAGGGCAGGCGCGTCCTTTTATTTTAAAATTATATTTGCTACCGAACTGGAAATCTAGGCGGGGGTAGTGCGTCATAGTTACTTTGAGTGGGCGATCAGCGGCAGCCCGACGCCACCGGACCCAAAGCCGCGTGAGTCCCTCTCTCGCCCGGCTGCCCCGCACTCTGACCCACGGAAGACGCCCGGCCCGGGGAGCTCCTGGGCCGACTGCGGCCCCAGGCTTCTGAGCTCCCCAACGCCCGCTGCTTCGTCCCAAGCGAGCTCCTCAGTCGTCGCCCTGCCGACCACCGCGGAGATGCAGCGCCCGCTCAGCTGGGGACTTTGGGCCACCTCTCGGGGTCGTATGGGAGCAGGAGAGGCCTGGCAAAAGGTCGTAACTCTCGGACCCCAGGCGGATCAGGGGGGCGGAGGAAAAAGGCCTGAGGTTCGCGTGGGAATGTCTGGGCAGGAAGGGTGGTGGGAGGCTGGGATGACCGGGGCTGCATTAACCCACCTTGCCTTTGGGACCGAGGGCAGAGAGCCCCGACAAGGTCGTGGTCACGGGTCTCCCTCTCGGCGTGGTCCCGGTACAGAGCGGCCCTGCACGAACCCACGCAGGCTGTCTGGCAGAGCCGCCCGCTAGAGACACTGGTCAGTCAAAATAGTGGCCGCCCAGCCACCGGTCTCTCTGCTCATGCCGGTGCTGCGTCCCTGCTGTCTTTCTTGGCCTCCTTTCCTCCTTCAGCCACGCACAGTCTTCGGAAGTTTTGCACGTCATCTCGTCTGTGATTTGCACAAACACCCTAGGAGCCCTGAGCTGGGGTCAAGTAGCCCTGGTTCTGGTCATGGCTTTGCTCTTAACAACCAGTCCCTTGCATCATCTGGGCTTCGACTTCTCCAGCTGTGTGAGGGAGAGAATGGAAGGGTCCCGGCCCAGGCTTGGTACAGCAGGTGCCAAATAAACGATTGTTAATTACATGATCCCTCCACCTTGAGGTCACCTTGGGACTTAGGAATTAGGGACGGCTTGGGGGCCATGTGCTCTTGCTGTCCCTGTGGGAGCAGGCCATTAAGCTTCTTTGAGACTGAATTTCCTCTTCTATAAAATGGGGAGATTCTCACTTCAGGAAGGTGGTGTGTGTCCAGGATAACAGGCTGGCACAGAGGAGGCTCAGTCGCCCTGCATCTGTTAGTCTGTTCTGGGTCCCCAGGGAGATGATGGCCAAGAGAGAAGTAGCTTGTAGGCACCGGAAGGCTCTGGAGGAGACTGCTGGGGGGAGGGGTGTGGGGTGCTGCTGCTCGAGCCAACACCCAGCAGCTGCGTGTGCTTGAGCCAGGCCTTAGCTGCCGTCACCTGTGTTTCTTGGTCTGTAAAATGAGGCAATGATGCATTCATTCATTGTTTATCCCTCCCTCTATTCGTTCCTTCTTTCCAGTAAATACCGTGAGCAGCCTTCCATGTGTTGTGGATTCAGCAACGCACAGGCAAACGCATGGAGCTTTTGTAAGGGCAGAAGAGACAGGGAACACGTAGATACGTAAATGCGCGTGAATGTACAGTGCACTGTTAGGTGGTTCAAAGTAAAGTGATGGGAAGGGGGGATGGAGGGCCTTTTTGACCAGCCACACTGAAGGGGAGGGAGGAAGGGACACTTGGGCCATGTCTGGCTCCCTTTCCTTCCTCTCAAATAATGATGATAACTGTCAATAATGGTCACTGTTAACCAAATAATGATGGTTCTTCTCCAAGTGCCAGGGGCCCTGGCAACTGCTTAACGTAACTCATGTCACTTCATTCTCACCACTGCTGTGTCCTGTGAGGTAGGTATTATTATTCCCATTTTATTGACAAAGAAAGTTGAGTCGCAAAGAAATTTAACCCCTTTCCCAGGTCACCTAGTGAGTGGCAGAGCCTGCAGTCAGCAACGCTTGGCTGGGCAAAGGGTTACCTCTGGCTGCCCAGAGGGGAGGTGAGATTGTGGGGGGCTGGACCTGCAACACTCTCCCTAACTCCAGCGGAGAGGCAGAGGGTCCTGGCTTTCCTTGCAAGCTCTTTGGGAAATTCTTGGCAGAAAAAGAACTCTCAGGTCCAGGTGAGGATTATGAAAGCATCGTCTTAGGGACTCCTTCCTGCCTCTGGCGTCAGCTGGGAGCTCACAACACCCGCCACTGAACACACTCTGTCATCACCGACACCAAGGCCTGCCGTGACTGGAAAAACCACGGAGCTCAGAGTAGGACGGGCTAGTAGGAGCACGTGGTGCAATGGCTAAGTTTACATGATGTGACATGATGGCCTAGCGAGTCAGGCCCACGGTGAGGGCTTGTTGACCAGGACTCTGGATGCCCTGTCCAGAGCTTCCCTGGGACCCATGACTGAGCATCAGTCTGGAGTGCAGGCAGCACCCTCCCTGAGCACAGAGGAACTTGAGACCAGGAGTCCCCAGCCCTCTAGCCCTGACTCTGTGAAGCTGAAGCCTTCTGGTGAGCAGGTGGCCTTTTGGGGCCAGTGTCAGGCTGGCCCAGGCTCGCCTGGGGCTTCCTCCTGGGGGACACGAGGAGCCTTTGGTAGGTGGGCCAGGCAGGAGGGAGCTAGTGTTCCCAGCCTGAAGACCCGGAAGTTGTATCCTACCTGCTGCAAAGTGCATTTTGAAGGTGGATTCCTATTGCTCTGTGTTGCCCCAGTCACTGTGCAGCTGGGAATGAGGCTCAGGGGCCGGTGCAGGAAGTTTAGAGAAGGCTGGGAGAAAACTGGGGCTGGAGTTCCAACTTCCGTTCTTTATCAGTCTGAAGACCACCCTCCAGTCTCCCAAGAGCACCAGACTTCAGCTGTTAGCTCCTCAGAGAGGGGAGATGAGACTGGCTCCAACAGGGGGAGGAGGGGAAAAGCAGCCTGGTTGGGGGCGGGGTGTTTCTTGACTGGGGTGGGCAGGAGCTGTCCCCACATTCTCAACCCCAGATCCTTCCCTCAGAGAGCACTTTGCCGCTCATCCGTCCTTTGCAGAAGCTGTTTGCTTTCTCTGACCACCAGGTTTCTGACTCAGGTCCTAGAATCCAAGGATCTGAGGAATATTTTGGATTATTTGGACCTACTTTTCATGTTATGCCTGATTCACCACAAACTGCTACCCGGGCTGTGCTTGCATACCTGAAGAGGTGGGAACTCCTGCCCAATCCCAGGCAGCCTTCTGATAGCTCTGAAGGTGGGGAAGTCTGCACATGAGACCCGTGAGAGCCACCACACCTCTCAAAGGCACCTCTGCTGATGGAAGTTCACACGCCACCTGGGAACATGAGCTGGCACACTGGCTTGATGCCACTTGGGAAGCTAGTCTTGGATTCTCCCAGCTTGAACCACTGGAAACTGGAACCCCCCCCACCCCCGCTGCAGCCTGCTCAGTCTAGAGCCAGTGCCTCCTGCCACACCAGTCACGAGGCCCCACGTCTGATGACAAGAGCATCAGAAGTTTCCTTAGAGATGCCCTGCTCTACACCTTGCATTACCCACATAGGGCATCCAAGCCCCCAAGGAGGGAAAGGGATCAGTACCCTGTCATTTGGCATCACAGCCACCAGGGATGATGGGGCCCCTCTGTGATCCTGTGCCTTTGCTCTCTGTGCAGCTTAGAAGGTCTCTTCCCAGCTCTGCCCTGGGTACCCTGGAGGTGAGGAAGAGGATGGATGAGGGCTCAGCCTCCACCCTGTCCTTTGTTAGGGGTTCTGGGTCCCTGCAGCCCAGCACTATTGTGGAAGGTAAAACAGATGC